ATTTTTATGGAAACGTGCGTGTGATGGTAAACCTCTCGGCATTGTGACAGATTAACTCGAGCCGAGTTAATCTTTTTATGCAGATCCGCTCAAATAAATTGCATGAAGGTTTGGCGTTTAAACTGTGTCACTATGTGTAACATCCCAATGCAGGTTAGTTGACAAAATAGTAAAAAGATATTATAATAATTGCAGTAAGCCTTTTATGAAACAACAAACTTTACTGCACATTAAGCTGTCCTAGTAACGATTGCTATGAACAATAATATTATTGTTTTAAGACTATTTTCAAGTCATATAATGATAACGGCTTAATATTGTAAGTTTGGTCTCTCAAAGACCGATAACATTTAATTTTGAAAAGGACACTTAACGCTGGCACTGATAGGTGTTTTAAATATCCAAAATAAAACATAACCAAAACGAATAAAAAACAGAAATAAAAACCACGCACAAACAAAGGCAAAAATAAAACGGATCATCAAGACTGGATAAACAAAACTTCCCTTCAAACATGGAAATGATCAAGTTCATTTTAATTTATCATGTGATTAATTGATTAGTTGCTTATTGTGACAGGCTTAGAAACAACTTCACACTTGGCCAGCAATCTCATAAATAAATTAATTCTTCTTTAATAATAAATTAATTCTTCTTAAAAAAAGTTGCATAAATTTTTAGAAGCTAATTAAAACAAAGTAATGGCAACCAACAACAAATAGCTTTCCAGTAGTCTAACAGAAAAGTATATCATAAATGTTATTAGCCCGATTTTGAATTTTATGGAACATGATAAATTTGAAGTTAGAAGTTCGTTCTAGCTTGTAAGTGGGTAGCAATTTTAAAAATCTGAAGGTGGCAGGTTTGTTGTTTTCTTCTTTTTTTGTTTAACATAGAAAACAATACCTGCCAGGCAGACATCTTAACCCCCCCCCCCCCGAGTGCTAATCTCCTCGGCTTGTGCTTCAGGTTCTTTCACCTGCGTGGCCTCCAACCCGGCCGGAGAGGCCCACCAGACGGTGGATCTGCTCATCGCTAAACTCCCTCACATCACCAACAACACAATCGCGGAGCAAGAGCCTGACCCCGGATCATCAGATATCGCCACCGTGACCAAGACGGGAGCCGAGGCGGGCGGGGTGCCCCTGGGGAACGCGAAGACAAGCCAGGAGAAGAAGGTGGTGATAGCCGAGGCCACCTCCACCTCGGCCCTGGTGAAGTTCAACTTCCACAGGAGCATCCCTGGAATCCGCATGTTTCAGATCCAGTACAACGGCACATACGATGACTCACTGGTTTACAGGTGAACAGAAACACTGAACTCGATATGAGGTTACAGAAGGTGTAGGAAGTTTTCTTTGCAGTCATAAAATCTTAATCATTTTCTAATGTTTCACATTGAGCTACGAACGCCTGAATGTCTTTGGCTGTTAAGTCATTAAAAGCCGGACCCGACTGTTTGCATCATTCGCCGTATCACTCAGTCCCATCAGGAAGACAGGAAGACTAATGCACTGCACATGAATTTATCTCCTTTGACTCCTAATCCCCCTTGTGTATTATTTACTATATGCAAGGCCTTGATAATGCCTAATCAACAAAATCAAAACAGAATGTCAGCATTAAGCTGCAGACCCATGGGGAGATGAAAGAGCCGTCTTCTATTGTTTCACAAAGAGCATCAGATGCTTCATGTGAGCCTATCTGAAGACGCACAGCACCCAGCTTTCTCTCATCCCAGCCTGCTTTCACTCCAGATTTACTGTTAATCACTGAGATATGATGGGATCATTGCACCAACTCTTTTTTTCTTTTTTTTTCTTTCAAAATGAACTTAAGGGTCAGCATCGCATATGGTCTTTCAGCTAAACAAACAGTGGTACTTGCGTTCCAAAGCAGGTTTTTACCAGTGGTATTGATGAAAGAATAAGTCATATGTCAAATAACAGATTTTGTTTATAAAGATCTTAAGTAGCCCCGTGAGAGTCATTTCATCCAAACAACAGTCGGCTTAATAATCTGTCTGCTCCCCTTTGCAGAATGATCCCCCCGACCAGCAAGAACATTCTGGTGAACAACTTGGCGGCTGGCACGCAGTACGATCTGTGCGTCCTGGCCATCTACGACGACCAGGTCACCTCGCTGACCGCCACCAGGGTGATAGGCTGCGTCCACTTCACCACCGAGCCGCAGTACCTGCGGTGCCACTTCATGCAGTCGCAGTTCCTCGGCGGGACCATCGTGGTCATCATTGGAGGGATTATCGTGGCGTCCGTGCTCGCCTTCATCATCTTCCTCATTGTGCGCTACCGAGTGTGTAACCAAGGGGATGCAGACAAGGTCAGTAAGGCAGTTGTTTAGGTTTGACCATGCCCTATGTGACTTCCTGAAAGAGCAGTCTTTCAAGAGACAAAGGGCCAATTTCAAGGCGTTATATTACAAAGTCACATTTGATATATGTACCACATTCATAACAACTGAAAGTAACATTTACTTAATTGTGCTAAAAAGTGCAATGTTATATTTATGTGGCAAATGGAGTTAGGTCAACTCTGATTGATGACACCCATGTACTTTATGTTGGTTTGTGATATAAAATCCCTATGAAGCACATGCTTGTGGCTGCAGTGCAACAAAATGTGGAAAAGACATAAATCACAAAAGCACTTTTGCAAGGTATCCCTTTGACCAGAGCAGCTGGTCAAATGGCTGCTCTGGTCAAAGAGCAAGGTACTGGTACTGCTTTTAAAATGTGGGAGTCTACTAAATGTGTCATTGTTTTTCCCTTCTCTCTTGTGTTTATCTCATGTCGGACCAGGCCCTGGAGATGGGGGATATCCGATCACTGAGCAGCGATGGACAGCTACAGGGCTGTGGCATCCCCAAGTCCCTCTCTAAACAGGTCCTCCATCCAGAGAAGAATGACAAGGAATGCGTCAGAGTCGCCCTCCCGCCTCCGGAGCCGACCAAGCAACGACCACCTGTCTCCGTGTCAACCACGAAACCGTCTGTTCCTGACTGCACGGTGTGTACCTCTGCTGGCAGCCATAGCTGGCACCCGGCCTCCCCAGGAGCGCCGAGGCCCAAGCGTTCCGGCGCTCCACCGAAACCCTCGGAGGGCCGGCGGGCTGAAGCTCAGACGGACGTTGAGCTCAACATGAACCGCAATAACTCTTCAGAGGTCAAAACGGCCACTGCCGTCTCCACTGCTCCCCCAGGGCCCGGCCAACCCCAGAAATGGACTGCTGCTCCGAGAGTCCCGCGACCCCACCAAGCTTCCCGACATTATATGACTGTCCCTGCAGGAGCGGCGAGAGTGAACCGCAGGCACTCGCTTAACGCAGACTCGTTGTACACGGAGCGCTGCTACGTAGCCTACCCCAAAGTTGGGGCCGGCCTGCGCTCCAAGCGCAGCCTGTCGATGAGCGGAGAGCTTCCGCAGCTCGAGAGCACAACAAACATTCACCGAGCCAGGGACAAACTATCCAGGTCTGAGTGGCTGCTGGAGAGCACTTTATGATTTCAACTTCACAAACTGTGCGTCCTTGGCTTTCCTCGGATTGGGTTGGGAAGTCCGCTGTGGAACATACTGAGAATTTTCTGCCTTGTTTCAACATTCCTCTTTGGGGGACATGAGGAAGGCAGGCACACAGGGGGTCAAAGGAGACGGTTCACATTTGTTTTCTACCTTATACCCTATCAGAGTCTTCTTTATATCAACTTCAATGAAAGGCACAACAATGTATAAAAACAACGCCATGTACAAAAATGTTTAGTTGTGTGAGATACCATATATCTCAGTGCAACCATAAGTGTTCATGTGGTTGTGAATGCAGTAACCTGAACATGCTGTATAATAAGGAGAGCATCACACAAGGGGCTTGTGTGATGGTATTACAATGCCTCTAACCTGAGGTGATGGAATCTCTGAAGACTTTGAACGTCGAGACTTTTCAAGAGATTAGGAATGTGCTTTACATCCCGGAGATGCGGGAACAGAATGTAGTAGACAAGAGAGTGCTCTGGCTCCTCATCCCAACACTCCCAGATCCAGCACAATGCAGCATTTCTTTATCCTGTTCTTTTCCTTTCTTGTGGCACAAGTCGACTCAGCCTAATACTGCCGTCCGGTTTGAATCGATACATTTTTATCACGTAATTACATAAAGACTCCGCTCAAATAGGATTCCTGTCACGAGTGATTCGAGCGGCAACCTGAACCAGCACCGGTGGCATGACAGGTGCTGCAGCTAATCTGATATTACGTGTGGGTGAGATCCAGAGGAACGACTCATTTCCATATTTTATACTCGCAGACGTTTATCTTGTCACGCCGACAACAACCATTGTAAATTAACTTTGTCGATGTAAGAGAGAAAGGGAGAATCACGAGAATGGGAGGCCGACCGCTCTTGATTTTTGCTGTTGTTTCTGTTTGATGTTTACCAGTACAAATAAACCAGTGATAAAACAAAAAAGGGGGAAAAAAACTGACTTATCTCTTTTCCAGCTTTCCTGTGAGCTGCACATATCAAATTAGCGAGTAGCTATACAGCTCTCTTTGTTCCTGCACCCCTCATCTTGCAGAAGTGGTTGCAATTTGGGGATTTTCTGTCGTCTTGCAGGAGCTTAATTCCTGTCTCTCTGCAAGTGGCGGACCTCTGACAGATCCCAGAGCTCCAGTGTTTGTTCAGAGAGAGCGGGAAGGCAGATGATGAAAAGAGACCTCGCCAGTCTCGGGGGACACCCTGCTTGCTCACAGATCTCCTTGCTCATCTAACTGCGGCATGTCTGTTCCTCTCTGAAGCCTGCAGCCACTGCGGAAACCTGCGGCAGAAGAGGTTAAACCCAGCCTCCCACAGTGGGAATCCGTGTGCGGCTAATTGTAAGGCTACAGTGGCGGGATTGAGGTGGTATGTGTTATCCTCCAGAACGAGATCTTTAAGACCGATTGCTCGTTGGATTTTTTTTTCTTTTTTTTGCCCAGGGAAAACCTTTTAGGATCATCTGCCTAGACTGTAAGTGTGAGACGTGAATTAATTCCCGTCATTTGAACTGGATGCATTCATCATTTGGGTCCTCATTACAGGTGATTAAAATGCCAAGGAGCTTGGGCCAGGCCTTGGTTTAGCTTGTTGGTGGGAGCCTGAGGTGTTTGTTAATAATAGATGCTTTTCTGGAGCGGAGACAGCGTGGAGAGGCGAAAATGGAAGGTTTTGTGAAACAAATACAGTGAGGAGGGTTGGAGGCTGAGGCACAGGGGTTGTGGATGAAGAAGCAAGAGTGTGGAGAAGATAACTCAGAGATTTACAGAGAGACAAGACAGAATGTAGAGCAGGGGAGGCAGAAAATAGCTGCCTTTTGTGAGGCAGCCCCGCAGCCTCTTAGGTATTCTGCACACCTTCTCTGAGATGGTGAGCATGGGGAGGAGGTTGCAGCGGGGTGAGAGACCTCGACTGGAGGTCAGACGACAAGCATAGCAGAGTGTAAGCCTGCGGCAACATCAAAACCACATGGTTCCCTTCACCAAAGTGCATGAGCCTGACCCACTTTCTAACCCCTGTAATGTGTCTCCAGGCCCGTGTGTGGCCTTTCCCCTCCTGGCATCACCTCATGACCCCGCTCTCTATTCAGCTCACTATTCTGCCTCATGCTGACAGCTGAAAGGTGCCATCATGTTTCTGGGGAACACTGAAGGCAACTTCCATCACAACTCATAATCTTTGATAGAATACATTCTGGAGTCGTTCCTCGCATCTTTAAATGTTGCTCAGGATGAGTCAGGTTCATGTTTTCAAGCTTTTTGAAGGTGCCAATTTTTCTCTAAATCATTGATGCCATCAGCTCAGTACTTGACTGAGTTTGTCAACCGGGCTAGGTTCTTTGGTTGAGCCGCTCCAGACTTATAAGAATGGATCTTCTGTTGTGTCTCTGCAAAAAATTATGAAAGAACAAATACCTAAAATTAGGGATGTCCCAATTGGGTTTCTGTCAAGACGCTTTTAAATGATCGATATCAGACTGCCTGACTAAACCCAACTTAAAGTACATCAATGTTTTAAAAAGTTTAATTAGAGAAATTAACATAGCACTGCATTCCTCTCCACCAACTATTAGAATCATTTCTGACTGCAAGCTCTTTATGATCCAATGGCCTAATTGCCCTCATTAGACATAATTAACTAGCTAGTGTCAGCTTGTTTTATCTATAAAAGACAGAATGGCAAATAGGTGTAAAAGTATCCATATTGAGGCACTTGAATTGAAGACTACTGCTAATGTTGGCTTGTGTTTATTCTTTGTGTTTGGTTTAGGTCTATGTATCAAAAATCAAAATCACAATAAGTATTATGGAAGGTATTGTCAGAACTGTAAACATCCACATGTTGATGTAGTTATTTTTGCAGCAGTAGGAATAATTTTGTAATGTTCCTTTTCTTTTTTTTCCCAACAAAAGCTCCTGAGGGAAAACCAATAATCCAAACAAACCGTCATTTTTCACTTCAAATTATGGTGCTAAATGTGGCATCTGTAATGCAGTCCTAAATAAAAGGCTCTTCCACACTGCAATTGATTTATCTGTAACATTCAGACAGGTCAAATGTGATTTGGGTTATTTATCATTAAAAATAGATTTTTGAAACATAGCTTAAGATTCGTGGAAGCTTTATTCTATTCTACTTTGAAAGAGTCTCTTAAGGTTTTTATGTTTTTTGCTTGTTTGTTTTAGACATTGAGACAAACATATAAAGTCCTATAGAGTACTCCATATACAGATTGGTCAAACCTGGACTGAGTTATTCTACTCTTATTATTGGATACATAATTTTTATGAGGTCTAATACCTAGTGTCGTACTGATCAATAGTCTTTCAGTTCCACATTGTTCTGTGGGGGAGGGCTGCCAGAGTGCTGCCAAAAGAAGGTACTTCTCTACAAATCTCTGCTGGTCCCAACAGCCGCTAGTGCTGCTGTAGTGGAGAGCAGCTGAGATGCAAGTTGTTAAATTTTACAACATTCGAAGCGCTTAATTAATGAAGCAAGAGAACAACTTTTTATGCAATTTGAGCCGCACAAGATATGTTATAACTGAATCTTTAGCAAGTCATATAACAGAGAGGAGACATGCTAATGTTAGCCAAACACTTCAGCTAGCTGCTACGCAAGAAAACATTGTCAATATAGCTGGAGGAGCAAGATTGTTTGCGAAGAAAGAACTAATTTCATTGGTGTGATGAGGTTATACTGATCAAATTTAGTGTGTTACTGAGATTTAAGGCATATAACATTGATTATGTTTCATATTATACTAGGAGTCAATATTGTGGTGAACAAGAAGGCTTGCTGCTACTGTAGAAAAGTTATATTGACAAATACCTAATCTTATGTGATTCTGAACAATATCTGCAACAAAAATGTTCTATCTGGGAAGTTAAAAATAGCATTTAAACTCCAACATAAAAAGAAAAGCAATACAAAACACAAAGACTGGCAGTTAATGGTCCATTAGCTGACAGTGTAATCTACAGTATGTTTTTCTATTTATTATAGACATGACTTTCAGATATCACTTATCTACCACTTTTCTTTTGCCGTGTCATCTATTTCGTCTTCCACGTGTTCACAATTGTTCTGAAAACGAGTCTAAAGAAAAGCTTTTAAAAGGTCTGTAGATCAAAGGTTTCATTTCAGTGTTGCTAATTTGGGCTTTTCGTTCCCTAATGGGATTTCCAAGGTTAACTTCCACCAACATGGCGTCTGATAACACAGCTTACTGTCGTTAATGGCAATCGTGTTGTGCAGAAAAATTACGTCGGAGCCCTGATGTGTTCACTTTGCGGTCAATTGCTTTATTTAGAGAGATCATCGCGCTCACTTCAGCGAACTGAAGAGCCTTTTACTGGCCCGGTTCGAGGGGAGTAATGGGAGAACTGAGCTCCTTCAACAAGTGAGTTAGCACGTTCCACTGGCAATGTTTCATTATCTCCAACCCAGCAGGCGATGTTAGTCAAAGTCACACATGAGACATCATTTCTCTAGCAGGCATTGTTCCTAGGAGAACACGTAGAAAAAAAAAAGGAAACATGAGTGTTGAGCACAACCAAAACATCACCGGTATCGCTCTGGAGGAGGTGGTGCCATTGAGTAAAATATGCACAGGCAATTCCAAAGACTATGCATTATTGAGAGGAGTAAATGGGTCTGGAATGAACATCATGGCTCATTAATAGTGAATGTGATTACTGTTTCTGGGAACACAGCAGTCTGGACAAGAAGAAAGATCATTTAAATGGTCAAATCCAAAAACTAAAGGTCTGCGTGTTTACTCAGCAACCAACTGTCTGCATCAAACCCATGACTCAAGCCGAAAACTCGTCCCTGCCAAGTGTCCTGTTGTGATTACTAACGTCTCACCGTGAAAAGCCACTTGACTGGTGTTTGCCAGGAGAGTTTGGAGACAGGTTGGAGCCGGGGTTTTTTATTTTTTTGATTTTTTTGACAAAGCTGACTGAAAACGAGCGAGCAGTTTCATAACATGGAGTCGTCGGGCTGAGTGAAGGTGACACTCCGGTTGGTGCCTGCGGAGCGACTCCCCTCCTGGTTGACAAACAGACTAAGTGACACATCGAGATCCGGAGGCACATTCGGAAGATCTGATTTGACGTGAACTCAAATTATCGTGTTGCCCCCCTGAGGGGTTCCCACGCTGAACGAACAGATGCCTTCCTCGCTTACTTCTCCTCTCTCGCAGCCTCCAATCTTTCTGTTACATATGCTTCAGGGAGATGGACGACTGGAGAGGCTGGCTGCAGTTTGCACCAGGCAAACCAGGCACTATTAGGAACCATTTTCTGCCCATTTCCCTTATAGCTGCTATCTCTTATGGAAGTGATTTGCTCTCCTTCTCTGGACTATGTGCTTCTCCGCCAATGATGGATCTCCCATTGATTCCCCGGTGCAGGAGATCACTAAAGGAGCAGTGCAGGCAGCCAAGCAGATGTGCCAGTCGGCTCTCAACTATTTATCAACTGCTGGTGAAGGGGGACGTTTAAAGCTTCAATCACAGTGATTTACTTCGAGTGCTAATCTTGTTATCACTTCAGGCTTATGATACCAGAGAATACGCTGTTATTGGGAGGTCTTGGGTCAATATTATTATCTTAAGTGCCACCAGGCACTTACAGTGTCTTGCAAAAGTATTGACACCCCCACTCTTTTTCCACATTTACAACATTTACTTCAGTGTATCAGTGTATTTTGGGGGTCTTAAAGTGGTCAATGACTTTGTTTTGTTTTTTTTAAGTGTGAATTTCCATTCTAGCCTTTAACTCTGATACCACTAAATAAGATCTGAGATGATCTGCAATCTAGCTTTAATACAAGAGAGACAAGGGGGTTAAATGAACTAAACAAAGCTATATTAAATCCTGTTTTCAGCCCTGTAGAAGACACAACAAAGAAGATGGCCAAATGAGACTGAACTTAAATTTATTGGCCAATTTTCAAAATACTATTTAAAGGAGCCTGTCTCGCATATAATATAGTGGCAGTATTGTGTTGAGAGATTGTTTTCTTGGTTAGATTTGCGTGGGTGGAGCTAAACATGAGGGGAAATTTTGAAGAAAATCTGTTCAATTCTGCCAAATACTAGAGGACTGGGGCCAGAGTTGATGTTCTAACAAGACAGCAATCCTAAACATACAACCAAAGCTGCCATATTGCTGTTTCGTATAGAGAGGACTCAAATGCAGGCAAATAGATGGCCAGATAGAATGCAGAGTTATTTTATGAATGGCTAAATTTTAAAGACAAAGTCCAAGGTAGAGCAAGAAAATCCAAACTTGAGACTTTGTCCAGTAGTGGAGGATGAGGAAGAGGAGGAGGAGGAACAGAAGGAAAAGGAGGAGGAGGAAAAGGCAGCAGTAGAATCCAGCACAAAATGAAAGGAAACAGGAAGAACATACTAAGGGAAGTTGATTACTGGGATAAGGTGTAGGTGAGACTAATTATTGAGAAACTTCAGAAAATAGACAGCAAAGGAAACCTTATGGAACTGATAGCTAAACAGAAATAAACATATGGAAACTAGAAAACAACACAATCGCCAAGCAAAATGAAACTCGGCACAAGAACAAGCCAGAACACTTACCCAACAGGTGATTAACAAGAGCAGAGAAATGATTAAACGAAAAACTTGAAGCAAATTCAGTAAAGTTCACAGATGTAGTAAAACATAACAATCCACTTACTGGGAACTGAAACTATAAATGAAAACTTTTAAGGTACAGAACATATAAAATCAACATAGAGTCTTTAACATGATGCCAACATTGGTCCAGTCGTGGCCCAGAGTTCTAAGGGGTACGAATACATTTGAATACATTTCCAAGTCTGTTTACTCTGTGTTTCTCCTGTTAATCCGTGTCTCCGTTTCACTTGCATATTGTTGAATATCCACTCACAGAAATCAGCATGGCTTCAGGCCCTAAATAACCAGCTCATGGGGGGATTATGAAAAGGCCATGTTTCTGAGCGTTAATCTTATTTGTTGCTTCGAGTGGAGTGAGTGTGCCTAATAAGATGATACATGAATCCTCAGCGTGACATTCGACGTGAATTGTGCGCCGACTGGGATCTGTCCGATCAGCTGATCGAACAGAGCGGCTGCAGATGGTTTGCACGTTTAGGCCTGCAAAGGCATCTTCATTAAACTGGGAGTCTATTTTTCAATATGAAGTCTGCAGGCTGATCGTATCGCTGCACTGCCACACGGTCATTTGAAATGCAGATGCAGAGGCCTTCGCTGCCTTTTGATGCAAGTTCACCTTCAGCGACCAGCTAGAATGAGAACGTGACGGGGATGCAGAAATACAGCAATAATCAAACAAAGGTGGATTTAGGAGTGACACATGATTGCCTGATGACAGACTGATAAGGAGAGAGGAGGAAAAACAGAGCGCAGAGATAAGAGCCAGTGCACGGCATGCACATGACATGGATGAACAAGTGCGGAAGAACAGCGGCGTTCAAAATGTTTGCACATCTGCAGCAAATCCATAATGTAACCTAATGGTGCTTGGAAGCTCCGAGCAGCACATAAACAGACAACAGTGTTCCGGGTGTGAACACAACTTTTAATTCAGAGAACTGCCACAATGTTTTCTCTTTCTCTCATCAGGGCTAGAATATCCATAAAACTGCTCTCTGAATCCCATTTAAATAACCTATATCAATTCTACTATAAAGAGTGAGTCAAATATCCAACCAGAATTACACCAGGACCTTGCTCATGGCCCTTGTGCAGATAAGAGAGAATCTGTAATCAATTCAAACTTGTGCCTCCAACTTTTGTTTTTAAACCTCAATGAAGTTGTTTGTTGTCTGTTATTCCACCCTGGAAAAAAATAGCTCAAATTAAATATTAAAAGGTCAGAAAGTTACATGATATGGTGATAACTTGTGACTGAGGCTGTGCTAACAGAGAGAGCAAGGACACAGGATGAGGCAGTGATTGAGGAGAAGCTCCAGCTGAGGCAGGAAGACAGGTAAGCTTTCTATTTTTAGGCCACAGACAGGTTCTGGGAGAACCGATAATGGGACCAGAGGTGAGATATTCAGACAGGACGGGAAAACGAAAGGGTAACTTCACAGCCTCTTCTGTAGGGAGAAGAAGACAACAGCCTAGAAATAAAACTTTTAAGTGGGCTGACATTTTAATTTGACTCAGAGACGTTGATGTTTGCATGTTAGCAAGGTGGAGCACTGCACTCTAGCATCTGCAGCAGCAGTGCTGGTGTTGAGGGAAGGTGGTGGTTGTAGTGGGGGAGGGAGAGCTCACTCTGCCTCTTTCTCTCTCTCACTCACACACACATGCTCTCACTCTTCTGTTACCTTGGCAACATACTTTCTGCATAGAAATAGCATCCCGTGCTGTGCCCCACACACACACAAACACAAGTATGTCTTTCTATTTTCACAGGGACTTTGCACTGACTTCCATTCATTTTTTCATTCATTTCTGTAGCCTAAACCAGACCCAAACTCTAAAACTTGCCATTACTGCTACATGTCCAACCATAAACCTAATCCCTAACCAAAAACAGCACTTGTTATGGGGCCCGGGCTTTTGATCCTATGAGTAGTGGGTCCTCACAACATTGTATGTGTTCAGGAAATGGGTCTTACAATGTATCAAATACAAGACCACAGACACACACACACACACACACACACATTCCTGTACTTCTATACAAACTGAGAACTTTGTATTGACTTCCAATCTTTTTATTAAAGGGGCAGTATTATGTAAGGTTTACTTTTTTGAGTTTTACATCACGTTGTAATGTTATGCCTTCATCAAAAACATATCTGGAGTGTTGGCTTGATTCTTTCATACATGTGTAAGAAATCCTGTAATCTCCCATGGCAACCACTCTACTGTGCAAAACTCCTGGGTGGACCAAGTATCGCCTTAGAGACGCAGCTCCTCATCGGAGCTGCAGTTTCAAGGTTTCTCAGCTTCTGCTTCACAGAGCAGCCCTATAACCCAACTCCTTCACTCAGCTCCTTACGACTAGTCAGCAGTAATTAGCAAACACCAGGTGGTACTGTGCTTCAGCTGAGCCCATTATATGAGTTACTTCTCAGTGCAACGCTGGTGGAAAACATTGTTAAAGGCTTAATAGAAGAGCCATGTTGTGATGACTTCCTGAAGGCAGAGTTTAAAAAAGAGCAGGATATTTTTTAAAGAGACAGAGGCCAAATTTCAAGACGTTAAAATACAGTCTAATTTTTTAAGTCATATTTGATATGTATGTCTTTTTTTATAACAACAAAAGGTAACAGTTACTTGATTGTACTATAAAATGATACAATGTGGCTGGAAAACACATAATACAACATTTATGCCTAACCCACCCAGACATATTCCTTAACCGTAACCAGTACTAGTCTATTCCTAATCCTAACTTTAGCCAAAACTTAATTCACACCAAACCTCTAAACCTAACTAATAGAATACAGTAGCTCTGAAAAAAAAAAAAAAAAAAGTGAGGAGTGGAAAAAGGTCCTTGCTTTCCACGAATGACCTCCCTTTGTTGGTAAACATCATTGAAGTGGTCCTCTCCATGCAGTATATACAAGTACACACACACACACGCACATACACTGTATGCCTTTTCATCTTCACAAGGACTTTGTGTTGACTTTCATTAATTTTTCTCAAATTTTTATAGCCTAACCTTGACCAATATATATATATATATATATATATATATATATATATATATATATATATAACTTAAACTCAATTCACCCCTTAGTCCTAAACCTAACCCTGAACCCATAAATTACACTTCTTATGGGGCCCAGTTAGCACACACACACACACACACACACACACGCACAAAGCAGACTTCAACAGTTTTAAATGTGTGAACAGATTTGACCTACAGAAATAGAGTTATTACCGTTCAACTTGTCTTACAAGCAATTTGGCTGTGAAGAAGCAATTTAGAAGCTAAGGAGGGATTCTCACTGGCAGCGCCTCATCTTATGTCGAGGAAGGTGTAACCTTCAAAGAAGCTCAGCATTTTAAGAGTGAAGATCTCTCTCTGTGTGTGAACCAAGAATCAAGTGTAAATTATTTGAGTGTTAAAACCAGACCGTGTGCAGCTGGAAGCTTCAGCTTTACAAGGAGGAGGCAGATCCCTTCAGGGGTGTTATTAGGAAGCGTAAGACAAATGTTAAACCACCGGAGAGAGAGAGAGCTGCAGTGTCTCCACACCACACAGACAGAAAGAGGTTTAGTCTTATCTCCCTCGCTC